TTGAATATGGACATTAATGGATATAATGGATCATTCACACATTCGACGGTGTGCCTATTGGGCCTATTCCTAGAACATGGCATGTTACTCTCAAAATAATAAGAACAAAAATAAACAGTTTCCTTTGCAAGATAGGCTTCACATATAGATCCTTCAATCCTATTCCTCTGCTTAACAAATTGTTTGCATTTGCCAATTGTCCTACATAATGTCATGTTAGCCAAGAACATTTAAATAAAATAAAATATTACATCAAACTTATAATATTACCTCTTAAAGGGATACATCCATCGGCATTGAACATGCCCTCCAAGTCGTGCCTCGTGTACAAGGTGGATTGGAAGGTGTTCCATCATATTAAAGAAACCACATGGAAATATTTTTTTTGCATTTTATTAGAAGTTACACGAATGTTCTGATCCATTCGAAGTAGGTTTTCTTCCCTTAATGTGGTAGAACACAAGTCTTTGAAAAACAAACTAATCTGTGTGATGGGTTTGCAAATTCTTTCAGGCAAACCACAAAATTCAATAGTCACTAAGTTCTCCATGAAAACATGACAGTCATGACTTTTCAAATGGCTCAATTTCCCTACCTCCATATCTAACTTTTTTTCCTAGATTCGACGCATAACCCTCAGGCATCTTCAATTTCGTAACCCAATCACAAATTTTATCGTCTTTCCTCCAAAGTGAATGTGTAACTTGCTTTGGGCTTGAATACCTTACCATTGTTTGCTGTCTGCAAGTGTAATTCAGGTCGCCTGCAATATTCTTATAAGTCCATTCTAGCCTTCGAGTTATCTTTTGTCTTACCTTTAACATCCATCATTGTGCTGAACAAATTGTCAAAATAATTCTTCTCAATATGCATGACATCAAGGTTGTGTTGGAGAAGATTATCCTTCCAATAAGGCAACTCCCAAAATATACTCTATTTCGTCCAATTATGAGTAACACCATATCCGGGGAATCTATAAGGTGGAGCCTCAGTAACTTTACTGAAGTTCTGGACCCTCTCCCAAATTTCCTCACCTGAAAGTATCGGAGGTGGAGAATCATATTCCACTTTATTCTTTTTGAATGCATTTTTCATCCTTCTAAACTCATGATCATCAGGCAAGAATTGACGGTGACAATCAAACCATGATTGCTTTCGGCTATGTTTCAAAGTGAATGCTTTACCATTTTCCATGCAGTAAGGACAAGCTAGCTTCCCAGCAGTCATCCACCCAGACAACATTCCATACGCAGTAAAATCGTTAATAGTCTACATTAAATTAGTATGCAAATTGAAATTCTGCTTGGTTGATATGTCATATGTTTCAACACCATCATAACACAGCTGTTTTAGCTCATCAATCAAAGGTTGGAAATATACATCAATCAAACTTTTTGGATTACGTGGACCAGGGATAATACAATTTAAAAATATATATGGACTAGTCATACACAACTCAGGTTATAAGGTGTAAGAAAGATAGGCCAGCATGAATATGGTATCACAGATATAGAAAAATGCGTGAAGCCATCCGCACACAAACCTAACCGAATGTTCCTTGGTTTACTAGCAAAATATGGATATGTCCTATCAAAGTGCTTCTAAGCTTCTCCATCTGAAGGATGACACATAACACCAGGTGGTATTCTATTTTCAAAGTGCCATCTCATATGAGGTACAGAACTTATCGACGTATATAACCTCTTTAACCTAGGTATAAGAGGTAAATAATGCATCGCCTTTACAACGACCATATTCTCGCTGGAAAGCCTCTTGAAACGAGGCTTTTCGCAAAATTTACAACTTTCTAAATTTGCATCATCTTTATAATATAACAAGCAACCATCTTCACAACAATCAATTCTCATTGACGAAAGTCCTAACGTAGAAACCAATCTCTTTGCCTTATAGAAATCACCAGGTAAGTTGATATTTGGGTCAACTAGTTCAGTCATAAGGTCAATGAAAGAGTCCATGGTTGCTTGAGAAATATTCCAATCAGATTTGATACTTAGTAATCTAACTGCAACAGACAACTCAAAGTGCAGACTTCCTTCAGGTAGTGGACAACTAGCTTCATCTAACTTTTCATAAAAATATTTTGCATCATCATTAGGAGTTTGTTCAACATTTTCATTGGGCCCACCCCCGAAGTGCATCCCAAAAGCATCCGCAACCATATCCTGAATTCTAGAATCATGATTTGTATTCTCCATCGACCTACTACTTTCACCAACAACCATGTTATAAAATATTTCACGGTTACCATTGATCTCTCCATGATTAGTCCACACAAAGTAATTCTATATAAACCCCTTCCTATAAAGATGAAGCTTAACTTTCTCCGATTTTTTAAACTTCACACAATCGCACGAGACACAAGGGCACCTAATTACTCCTTCAATTTGGTATGGTGAAAGTGACATTGCATGTCTAATAAAGTCATCAACCCCTTCTACAAAATTCTCCTGCAATCCCCAAGGATAATTCCTATTATACATCCAAGTACGATTTTCCATCTATACAAATAAAATAAGAATAAATTAATTTATTCTATAATTATAAATTAATTAAATCTTTTTAGTTAATTAATATAATTAATTTTTCCTAATTATACCAAAATTAAATTATAGTAAAAATAATTAATTATAAACTATAAGTTCAATTGTGATGACCCAAAGGGTCATCTTGTGAATTAAGACTCTATTCCGGGCCCGTTAGCCTTAAAAAGCTTATTTTTACTCACCTCGATTGGCGTGCACAGTTTGGGCATAAATCCGGAAAGCCTTTATGTGGAAATTTATGAAGTAATAATTTTTGGAATTTAAAATTAATTTTTAGTTGACTTTGGTCAATGTTTTGAGTAAACGGACTCGGACCCATGTTCGGACGGTCGCGGAAGGTCCGTAGTAAAATATAGGACTTGGGCGTATGCCCGGAATCGAATTCCGAGGTCCCTAGATCGAGAAATAAATTTTTTATGAAAATTGTAAGACTAAAATTCTATGGATTTAAAGAAATTGATTAATGTTTGACCTCGTTGGTATCAGACCCGTATTTTGGTTTTGGAGTCTGGTACAGGTTTAATATAATATATAAGTCATGTCTGTAAAATTTGGTAGAAATCGGAGTTGATTTGACGTGATTCGGACGTCCGGTTGAGAAGATAGTAGTTTTGAAATGTTCTTGAGGAATTCATGAGTTTTGGTGATAAATCCATAGTTTTAGGTGTTATTTTTGTGATTTGATCGCACGAGCAAGTTCGTATGATATTTTTAGACTTGCGTGCATGTTTGGTTTGGAGCCCCGAGGGCTCGGGTGAGTTTCGGATAGGCTACGGAGTGATTTTAGAACTTAGAGAATTGCTGGTGTAACTGGTGTCTGTAGCAGGCCTCTGATCTCGCAATTGCGAGATCAGGCTTCGCAATTGCGAACTAAGCAAGCCTCGCAATTGCGAAGAAGACCTGGGCTAGCATGTTCCCGCAATTGCGAGAATTTCTTCGCAATTCCGATGGGGGTCTGGGGAAGGGTATGTTCGCAAATGCGAATTTCTGCCCGCAAATGCGATGGGCCAATTGTCGCAAATGCGACATATTCTTCGCAAATGCAAAGGCAGCGGAAATGTGAAGGATCTCGCATTTGCGATGACCCCTTCTCATTTGCGAGCTTCGCAATTGCGAAGCTCAGGTCGCAAATGCGACGTCCGCAGCTGATAACTTTGGACTTAGACGGGACTTTTCATTCATTCTTCAATTTTTCGAACCCTAAACCTCAAGAGGCAATTTTCCAAAGACCAAATCTTTCCAAATCATAGGTAAGTGATTCCTAATTCTTTTCTTTCAATCTTTTACATCTTATAATAAGATTTCAACCTAGAATCTAGAATTTTTATGATGAAATTAGGATTTCGCGGTAGAACTTAGGAATTTCAAAATTCGGGGATTTAGAACTCGAATTGAGGTCGGATTCCAAAACCAATTGTATATCCAGGCTCGGGGAGAATGGGTAAACGGATTTTGGTCTGAACCTCGAGTTTGGACCAAGCGGGCCCGGTGTCGGTTTTTGACTTTTGTTGGGAAAACTTAGAAAAACTATAATTATGCATTAAAGTTGATTCCTTTAGCGATAATTGATGATATTAAATTAATTATGATTAGATACGAGTGGGTTGGAGGTGAATTCTAAAGGGAAAGCGGTACTTGAGCAGTGAGTGGCCTGCGAAATTAAGGTAAGTATCGTGGTTAACCTTGACTTGAGGGAATAGAATCCTCAAATTATTTGTTATGTGAATTGCATGTGAACGACGTATAGGTGAGGTGACGAGTGTCTATACGTCATCAAATTAATTGTTTGCCTGCTTACTTGAAAAATCATAAATTATTTTAAATCACGAATTAATTATTATAATAATTATTTCTCTCCTATTCTTTATCAAATATTAATTCTTGAATTCATGTATTAACTGTTACATGCTATTTGAATTTTGTACATTAATTGTTATTTGATATTTAGCATATTAAATATTAAACTGCATATTTTCTCTCTGATTTCCATATTAATTTGCTATTTGCCTTTGTTTGTTTCATAATTAAATCATAATTATTGTATGCTTGTTNTTGTACGCCACAACAGAACTGAATGTGAATATATTGTGAGAGTGGGTTGCACGCTGCAACATAATTGGATGTGAATATATTGTGAGAGCGGGTTGCACGCTGCAACAGAATTGATGGAAATGATGATTGGTTATGACTGCTGAGTTGGCTTCAATTATTATAAATGAGTTACCTCATTTATTTCTATTATTGTTGTTGTTACTAATATTGCGTACAGGTAATGTAAGTGACCCGCTTTAGCCTCGTCACTACTTCGTCGAGGTTAGGCTTAGCACTTACCAGTACACAGTGGCGAATCCAGGATTTTTATCAAGCGGGTTCAAAATGCAAAGAAGCAAATATACAAAGAGGTCAACAAAAACTATATATTAATAAAATATATTATTACAACTGTCCTCTACGAGTTTTCATTTCCTGAAACGTATTCATAATAGTCTCATCAGAAATGGTGTTAAATATTTTTCTTTCTACATAAGGTACCAAACAACCGCTCATGAATTCGTCATTCATTCGGTTTCGCAATTCACTCTTGATCAACTTGATCGCCGAGAAAGTTCTTTCAACTGTAGCAGTGGCAACTGGTAGAAGCAAAGCAAATTTCACAAGGCGAAACACAAATGGATAATTCAAATGCTTCTTTGTCTTAACTAGTGTTTCAGAAAGATCAACAAGTCCTTGTAGATTTGAGAACCTTTCATCAACATCACGAACATCAACAATATAAGTTTCAAGTTGATTCTTGAGTGTAACCATTATATTCTCATCAAAATCATCAGGATACAATTCAGCCATTATCAATATCTTGTTTATGTCAAAATTAGAAAATGAATCAACTGGATTTAAGCAAGCTACTCCAACAAGCAAGTTCATTGTCACCTCATTAAAACGAGCATTGAGTTCTTGAACTTGCCAATCAATAATCTTAAAAAATATACCAACACGATAGTGATGTAAAATAGTATAATTAGCAACTTTACGTCGAGATCTTCCGGAGTTAACATAGAAGTCATCAAAGTTTGGTATCAAAATATTATACTTGACACAAAATGCAGAAACCTTATCAATAAGTGAATCACATTCTTCTTCTCTTAGCTTTTGCAACCGTTTCTTTGCCACTTCAACAAGTAGAATAGCATTTGCAATATCTTGCTCCTTTTTTTGTAAGGATGTATTAAGCTCATTTGTGATCCCCAAAACGTCTCTCATTAGGTGCAACATGAAAGCAACCTCAAATGTTTGACAAGTGTTAAGATATCCCTTTGCCTTAGCTCTTTCTTCTAAAGCTCGGGCATCAACAACGATAGTATCAAGAACATTAATAATTGAGCCAAACATAGAAATAAAGTTCTTAAAAGATTTGTAGTGCGAACCCCAACGAGTATCGGCAGCTCTGGCAAGACCAAGTTCTTGATTCAAACCCTTATCAGTTTCAAGTTCACCCATGTCTAATGCCTCTTGAACTTTTTCTGCTTGAGATTCTCGAAGATCATCCATACATTTAAAAGAACCTCCCACTATATTTAATACATTAGAAACCAACAATACAAGTTCTCCCATTTCAAGACACTTTTTGGATACCGCAACAAGAGTCAATTGAAGTTGGTGTGCAAAACAATGAATGAAATAAGAAGATTTACTTTCTTGTTGAATCAAAGTTTTGAGGCCACGTAAATCCCCTTGCATGTTGCTTGCTCCATCATAGCACTGCCCATGCACATAAGATAAACTCAAAGAATGTTGAGCAAGGTAATCAACAATTACTTCCTTTAAACATAAAGTACTAGTATTACGAACATGAACGATCGCAATAAAATGCTCCACCATAGATCCACATCTATTAACATATCGCAAGACAATAGGTAATTGCTCTTTGCGTAATACATCACATGATTCATCAACTAGCAATGCAAAAAAGTCTCCATTTAGATCGTCCATAATTGCTTTAACTGTTTCAATTTTACATGCAATGATAATGTCTTTTTGAATTTTATGAGAGGTCAACTGATCATTCTTTGGAGCCTTTTTCAACACAAGATCACAAATTTTATCGCACCTCTCTGCATACCATGAAAGAATCTCAAGAAAGTTACCCTTGTTTAATGATAATTCATCTTCACGATGTCCACGAAATTCCAACCCTTGAGTCAATAGGAGTCTCACAGGAGATACTCGTTTATTCAGTATCGGACCATCCATAGCAGTAATATCCAAATTTCTAACAACCTCAATTGAAGCCTTCAAGCGAATTTTGTATTCGAGCTTGGTTTGACTGGATTGCCTATCAAATGAAGTTTGAATTGACTGTTTTTGTTTTAAGAGATCTTTACATTTCCTTTTTGCATGATTATGAATACTGCTCGACTTACCAACATGAATACCGAATCTCTTCTTTTTTTGCCAACTCTTAAATCCTAAACTTGAAAATACATTGCCTCCACCTTGATGAATGTCTTCATCTTGAAACAAGTAACAACACAAATAATAAGTTGCATCTTCTATCACACTGTACTCCAACCACTTACGATATTCATCAAACCATTTAGGATTGAAATGATGCTTTAAGCCCGAAAAATCTCTTTGAGGAAACTTATGATATCGGGGTTGGTAAGGACCTCTTCAGAGATATTCTCTTCTAATCTCATCACGCTCATTTGGATGATAATATCTAATGGGTATTCTCTCCTTTGGATCAGCCGGTAAAGAATCAAGATCTATTCCTTGTTTTTATCTTTTAGAGGATTGAGGTTGCTCTTCTAATTGGTTCAAATTTTGTTCCACGGGAGTAGCAATTGGAAAGAATGAACTTGGTTGTGGCAACTTGGAAGATACTGGAGGGTAAAATCTCTTCATTGTAACACAAACCGGATTACCAAATTAGAATTAGAATTAGAAGAATAATTTTGTATATGTTTAACCTTAAATTTAAACTAGAAGAAATAATGTGGTCGAAGACAACCCAAGTAACGATCACTCATCAGATTACAAAACTATTGCAATGAAACTTTCATTTATGGATAACAACATGCTAAATATTATTTTATAAAGGGAAATCTGTTGATTCAACAACGAGCCAAGGAAAATGTCCTTGACTGCATCAAAGAAACATTACTGATTTCCATTCCATATGACCATATCAAAAGTACACACACCCAAAAAAATATCATGTGTACGTAGGATTTCTCACTCAAAACCAACAGCAACAGTCTGAGATTTTTCATAACTAAAGAGAAAAGGTGCTTAACTTCTTAATATAAGCAAGTTTATTACTATCAATTTCTCACCTTTCCCCATTTTCCATTAAGATTAAAAATTATATTAAAAAAATATTTAACATGGTATATCTCAAATTGAAATTGAGTTTCTCAGCCAAAACCCATTAAAATAATCTGAATTTTTTTCCAAAGCATAAATTACAAAAATCTGCAATATAAGCAAGTGAGAAACCTGATAGTGACAATTGACGGGCTGACAGCGAGAGACGGAGAGTGGCGACCCAACGAGATTCGAGAAGCGGCAGTGGCTTATGGCTAATGGAGGAGACGACTATGAAGCAATGTTCTTTGAAATTGAACTACAACAAAGAGAAGAAATCACATAGAGGCGAAGGAAATTTATTGGGATTAAATCTTTATACAAAAGAGGAATAAATACTAGAAATTGGAAAACTAGAATTGGTTCTTATTGTTATTGATCACGTGAACTTTTAGTTAGATACCAAGATGAAGCCCTTTGTCTTTGAGGGAGATGACCTTCTCGGCAGGGGCTAACTAACGGAGGAGGTGAGTGGTGACTATGGAAGCGATTCTCTTTGAAATTGAGAGAGAGAGGGGCACCGAAGGGCTTGGGATTAGAGATTCTGATCGTTTTCTGATTTGGGAAATTGGGGAATATTTTAAAAAGACATAAACGACGTCGTTTTTATGGGAAAAGAGACCTATATTAAAAAAACCAAAAATATAGGGCATATGCGACTAACTGGTTTCTAACTCAGGACCATGTGAAAAATTTGAATCCTCTTTACCAGCAGGCTAGGCGATTTACTTGTTTGAACTTGGTTCAAAATAATCTTTATAGCATTACGTTTTTGAAGACAGAAAAAATATACCTACATACACAGTATTATTTTTCGACGAAGTGGGTTCATATGAACTCTCTTGACTCCATGTGGGTCCGCCCCTACCAGTACATGGGGTCGATTGTACTGATACTACACTCTGCACTTCTTGTACAGATTTCGGAGTTGGTCCCAACGGCGTGCCATAGACTTGCTCGGATTTCAGCTACTCGGAGGAGACTTGAGGTATATTTGCATGGCGTCCGCAGTTCTGAAGTCCCCGCCTATTTTACTTTAGCTGTGTGTTTATTTCCAGACAGCTTTATTTTATTCAGATCTTTATTTGTATTATTCTAGAAGCTCGTGCACTTGTGACACCAATTCTGGGATGGTATTTAGACACTGTTATTTTTATGGATTATTCACTATATTTTAGACTTTACTTCCGCATTTGTTCTTTCATTATTAATAAATTTAAAAATTGTTTTAAAAATAGATAATATTATTCTAACGTTGGCTTGCCTAGCAAGTGAAATATTAGGCGCCATCACGGTCCGAAGGTGGAAATTTCTGGTCGTGACAGTTGGTATCAAAGTTTTAGGTTACATAGGTCTCACGAGTCACGAGCAAGCTTAGTAGAGTCTGAAGGATCGGTACGGAGACGTCTGTACTTGTCTCTTAGAGGCTATGAAGTTTAGGAACAATATCACTTCTTTCTTATTCTGTCGTGCAATTTTATTCTATCATTGATGATTGAACCATTCTACTCTTATTCTCTCGCAGATGGTGAGAACACGTAATACCTCTACCGATGGTCAGGGACCAGAACCCCCGGTGGCAACTATGGCCAGGGGTAGAGGTCGAGGCCGAGGTCATGCTAAAGGCCGAGGCAGAGGCCGAGGTAGAGCTCAGTCCAGAGCTCGAGCAGCTGCACATGTTGAAGAACCTCAGGTGGACCTTCAGGAGGAGGCTCCAGTTCAGAATGTACCAGTTGGACCAGTTCAGGTCCCGAAAGGATTTATAGCCACTCCAGTACTTCNCTGCGGCACAGATCGGTGATAGGCCCACCATGTCTTTTAAGGCCTTATTGAGACTGGATAAGTTTACCAAGCTCTTTCCAGTTCACTTCAGTGGTACACCTTCTGAGGACCCACATGATTATCTTGAACGCTGCCGTGAGGTGCTGCAGAACATGGGTATAGTTAAGACCAATGGGGTTGATTTTGCTGTATTTCAGATGACGGGTTCTACCAAGATGTGGTGGAGAGATTATACATTGACCCGACCAGTCGGATCACCTGCACTTACAAGGGAGCAGTTCTCTCAGCTATTTCTGGAAAAGTTCCTCCCTATCACACTGAGAGAGGAATTTCGCAAGCAATTTGAATGTCTACAGCAGGACAGTATGACTGTTACTCAGTATGAGTCACGTTTTATAGATTTGACTCGCCATGCTCTCCTTTTACTACCTACGGAGGGAGAGAGAGTGAGGAGGTTTATTGAGGGACTCACTCACCCTATCAGACTTCAGATGGCCAAGGAGACCAGAAGTGAGATTTCTTTTCAGGCGGCTGCTAATGTCGCAAGGAGGATCGAGATGGTTCTTGCACAGGAGAGAGGGCAGAAGTCCGATAAGAGGCCTCATCAGTTCGGTGGTTTTAGTGGTGCCTCGTCTGGAGGCAGAGGTAATTTTGGTAGGGGTCATCCTCCCAGACCGTTTCATTCAACACTTCATGTATCTCCCGGTGCTTCAGGGAGTCACGGTCCTATTGTGCCTTACTTTGGGCAGCCAGTATTCAGTGCACATTCAGCTCCTATCAGTGCATCACCACTCCAGAGTTACTACAACGATTATCTGGCCCATTTAGGTCAGCTTCAGCTTCAGCAGCCACGGCATCAGGATGGGTGTTATGAGTGTGGAAACATTGGTCACATCAGGAGGTATTGCCCTAGATTGGCGAGTAATAGATCTTGGCAAGATTCTCATGCCATCATACCGGCACCGATTGCTTCACCGCCTGCTCAGTCAGCTAGAGGTAGGGGTCATGTGGCTAGAGGGGGAGGTCCGGCCATTAGAGGTGGAGGTAAGACCGTTAGAGGTGGTGGCCAACCAGTTAGAGGCCGTCCCAGAGACGCAGTTCAGAGTGGTGGGGCCCAGCCCCTATTTTATGCTTTTCCAGCTAGGCCTGAGGCCGAGTCATTTGATGCTGTGATCACAGGTATTATTCCAGTTTTTTTTATAGAGATGCTTCAGTTCTATTTGATCCAAGATCTACTTATTCCTATGTGTCCTAATATTTTGCTTCATATTTGGTTGTGCCTTGTGATTGTCTGAGTGCTTCTGTGTGTGTATCTACACCGGTAGGAGATTCTGTTGTAGTAGATCATGTCTATCATTCGTGTGTGGTTACTATTGATAATCTTGAGACTAGTGTGGATCTTCTACTTCTTGATATGGTAGATTTTGATGTCATCTTGGGTATGGATTGGCTGTCCCCTTATCATGCTATATTGGATTGTCATGCCAAGATAGTGACCCTAGCTATGCCGGGGTTACCTCGGTTAGAGTGGAAAGGAACTCCTGGTTATTCTGCCAGTAGGGTTATTTCTTATATGAAAGCTCGGGGTATGGTAGAGAAAGTGTGTCTAGCCTATTTGGCTTATATTCGCGATCCCAATGCGGATGCTCCTTCTATGGACTCAGTACCAGTTGTTCGTGAATTTTCAAAAGTATTTCCTGCAGATTTGCCGGGGATGCCACCCGACAGAGATATTGACTTCTGTACTGATTTGACTCCGGACACTCAGCCCATTTCTATTCCACCATACCGTATGGTCCCGCTAGAGTTGAAAGAATTGAAAGAGCAGTTACAAGACTTGCTTGATCAGGGATTCATTAGACCCAGTGTCTCGCCCTGGGGTGCACCAGTATTATTTGTAAAGAAAAAAGATGGCTCTATGCGGATGTATATAGATTATCGGCAGTTGAACAAAGCCACTATCAAAAACAAATATCCGCTGCCAAGAATTGGTGATTTATTTGATCAGCTTCAGGGTGCTAAGGTATTTTCGAAGATCGATTTGAGGTCTGGTTACCATCAGTTGAAGATTAAGGCATCTGAT